ATGTTCTGAGTAACTTGTGGCAGAGAGAAAAGAAGCATCTGTAGGATTTTAGTTTGCTATTGGTTGTGCTTCTGCTGCTCACATTTGTCCATCTCTACCTGCAAACACTTAGTAGCTGTATGTTCCAAATGTCTTGAGGTGAAAAAAGGGCTGGTTATGCCAACAAAGGATAAAGGCCTGGGGAAACATAACAGTGTAAGACCTATGTAAGTGTGCATAAAAAGAATGGTTTAGTGCATAGGGTACTGGACTGGGATTCTAAAGTTATGGGGTCAGTTCCTGGTTCAGTCAGAGACTTCCTTGGGCAAGCCGCTTCTTTATCTACTCTGTGTTCAGTTCCCCATATTTAAAAGTGGGGATTATATTTCCCAAACTCGCAGGGTGTTGTGATGATAAAATCCAATACAGATTGTGAGGCACTCTGAAATTATGTAGTGAGGTCCATATAAATATCTGGAGTGATAGATTTCAGCAGCATTTGTATATTGTCCAGCATATGTATATTTCTGCTATGCAACTCAATAGATCAAAAGATTGTTAATTTATAAAAGTATATAGTAAGACAGCTGCATGGCACTCCAGTGCCTTCGACATAAAATACAAAAAAACAATAAACTGAAAGTAGTAGTCAACCTCAACAACAGCCCCAACACAACTAGGCCTTCATAAGTGTCTCTGCTCCCAATGCTGTCCTTTGGGATCCCTTCCTGTGCCCTCCTTCCTAAGGGCATTGTAAACCTGGATCTGTGTGACCTGTGCTTCTGGACTTGGGGTGTCCAAGCCCATGCTTTTGGCCTGGTCTACACTACGGGATTAATTCGGATTTAGCAGCGTTAATTCGAATTAACCCTTCACCCGTCCACACAACAGAGCCATTTAGTTCGAATTAAAGGGCGCTTTAAATCGATTTCTGTACTCCACCTCGACGAGCGGAGTAGAGCCAAAATCGATTTTGTTAATTCGAATTAGGGTTAGTGTGGCCGCCACCACCGAATTAATGTGGTTAAAATTAATGGGGTAGTGTGGCCGCACACCACCGAATTAATGTGGTTAAAAACCGAATTAATGTGCTTAGTGTGGCCGCGCACAATCGAATTTATACAACCTGTTTCCCAAATTCGAATTATCTAAATTCGGATTAATCCCGTAGTGTAGACATACCCCTAGTGTCCACTCTGCATTGTAAACTTGGGTTTACAATTGCTGGGCCTGGGTGTCTTTGGCTAGGTCTACACTATCCGCCTGAATCGGCAGGTAGAAATCGATCTCTCGGGGATCGAATTATCGCGTCTCGTCGGGATGCGACAATCGATCCCCGAATCGACGCGCTTACTCCACCAGCGGAGGTAGGAGTAAGCGCTGTCGACGGGGAGCTGCGGAGGTCGATTTTGCTGCCGTCCTCACAGCGGGGTAAGTCGGCTCCGATACGCCGAATTCAGCTTCGCTATCCGCGTAGCTTAATTTGCGTATCTTAAATCGACCCCCCCCCCCCCGTAGTGAAGACTTGCCCTCAGTCATGCAAATGCTGCACTAGCCAGACCTTTTGATTTGGTTCGGAGGCTTGAGCTATGCCCTTGCTACAAAGTGATAGGGCTGGGACGCAAGTCTCAGCAGGCCTTGGACTCAGACCCACCTCCCAGCAGGGGCTTAAGTCCTTAGTCTTGAGTGCTTGCTGAGCTGAATCAGACATGTGTGGACGGTAGCGGGGTTTGGGCTCAAACCTGAATCTGGGTTTACAATGCAGTGTAGATATACCCTAAAGTCTGAGTAAATAGATACTCCTTGTAGTATGCCCCATCTGTCAAAAAACCTGGACTCTTTTAGATAAAGGAGGGGAAACTTTCCAAAGTAGAAGGCCCCTGATGGAGAACATTCTGCCACTTCCCTGCTTCTTTATTTTTTTATTTTGAGGGAGCTGTAGTATGAGAGTCATTGTTGATTGCAATACTGCCAGCATGGCACATGGGGGAGAGAGTCTCCCATGTAGGACGGCTTAGATAACACGCATCTAAGATTACCAACAAAATAACTAACTTGAACATAAAGGATGGGATGAACATTTTTATTTTATGTTATTTAATGGCTAGTTGGAGGGGATGGTTTTAACCATGAGCTACAGTGGTAAGAGGAAATGTAACATTTTAGCAATTTCTAATTGCAGAACTCTTTCCATCATCAGCCTGTCTTTTCTTGTATTTAGACCAAGTACAAGAACTTTCAGTCCCAAAGTCAATAGGAATAGAAGTGCCATCTCTAATCTGCCAGTAAAAAACACATAGTCTTACAGCAGCTGTGTAGCTAGTCATAGCTACAGCACCAGTTCTGGTAACTAGAGTTACCAAAGTCTTTCCATTTATAAATTCCTGTTCCAAGTTGCTCAGAAGTTCCTAAAATTTGACCTTCATTAAAATTTACCAGGTCTGTTCTCTGCCCTGAAGGGGTGTATATTTTCAATTTCGTCAAAATGCATTTGTGTTTCTTGATCCCAATGTCCAAAATGTGTTACCTGTCGGGGAGAGGAGAGAAACAGAGTACAAAGAAAAGTTATTTTTTAGCAAATACTATGAAATAAGAATAGTTGTTGGTCATATTAGCAATCTGATAGAGTAATGCTGCTACAGTACCTAACATAGCCAGTAGATGCCTGCAAACACCAGAACATAATTATATCTGAGTGCCGTTAGGGCATCTGCTATTGGAATTTGTTACCTTATGATTCTATTTTGTGAACTGTAAAAAAAATTTTAATGTGGCACCCAATTTTTTCTGACAAATGAATAGCTACTGTGTTAAAATCCCTTTTCAAAGAAAATATACCCTTAATGATATGGTTCTCTGTGTGTAATCCTTTATTTCATTGTGCTGACACACTAAGATTAAATTACCAAAACAGTAGTTCTTCACATAATTGTAGAAGTGATTGCTTGAAATAAAATGCATCATTTTTATTGCATCATTATATTTTTGATATATTGCAATTGTCCGAACAGCCTTCATTGAATATATATGTATTTAAAAGGGAAAAACGTGAGACATGTAGGATGTATTTACATAGATCAGTAATACAGTGAATAAATAGAAAATATATCTAGTGGGCGCTCAGCTTTTAACCTTAAAAATGATACATTGAGTGCAGACACAGAGGATAATTTTATTATAAAAAGATCTAGGTGGAAAATTATTGTAACTAGAATTTTTTTGTGGGAAACTGATTGAACCCTTTCCAGTCAGAAATATGTTGCTTTCTCACTTGCTAAATCCCAGTAGCATATTTGGGTTCTAATCAGAAGGCAGATTGACCCAAGCATAGAGGGGCTGGAAAAACCCAAGCTCTGAAGCCAAGCAGTTTTTTAAAAGTGCATTCTAGATCGGGGAGGGCAAACTATGGGCCACATCCGGCCCACCAGCCGTTTTAAGCCAGCCCTCAAGCTCCTGCTGGGGAGCAGGGTCTGGGGCTTGCCCCGCTCCATCCAGGGAGCAGGGTCAGGGGCCGCTCCACGTGGCTCGCGGAAGCAGCCACATGGCCCCGCTCCAGCACTGCACCCGGGGAGCAGGGTCGGGGGCTCCTCCACACAGCTCCCGGAAGCCGCGGCATGGCTCCCTTCTGGCTCCTATGCGCTTCATTGGCCCCCTCCAGCACTCCAACGGAGAAGGGACATGCCGCTACTACCAGGAGCCACTTGAGGTAAGCACTGCCCAGAGCCTGCACCCCTGAGCCTCTCCCCACACCCCAACCCCCTGCCTCAGCCCTGACCCCTCTCCCGCCCTCTGAACCCCTCGATCACAGGCCAGAGTACCCTCCTGCACCCCAACCCCCTCATCTCCAACCCCAACCCAGCCCGCACCCCCAGCTGGAGCCCTCCCCCCTGCAGCCCACTCCCCCAGCCCCGAGCCCCCCTCCCTCCCCCCCCCCCCTCATTTCTGGCCACACCCAAAGCCCACACCCCCAACCAGAGCCCTCACCCTCTCCCGCACCCCAACCCCAATTTTGTGAGCATTCATGGCCCACCATACAATTTCTATTCCCAGATGTGTCCCTCGGGCCAAAAAGTTTGCCCACCCCTTTTCTATACACTACTATCCTATCTGATTTTCCTGCATATGCACGCGCTCTCTCTCTCACTGGAACTTGAATACCTGTGATGTGTGATCCCATTGGTGTAAGGGATGGCTTGACCTTTTTGTTTAAAAAAAGCAAACAAAAAAACTAAAGTCGTGCTAAACTCTGGTAGGCTTTCTCCATCACCCCACCTCTATTTTGGGCCTTCTTGTCCCAAACACTGTTTTGGAGCCAGAGACCGCCACCCCCACCAAATTAGAAGTATTAGGACTCCCAGACATTTTGCCATGTTAGGGAGAAGAGAACATCTGAGCCTAGAGGGAGGTTCCCTAGTTCTTAATTCTTTTGTTACTGTTCTGCTGTATGGTCCCTTCTATCTCTGTCTCCATTCCAATCCCAGGCTAAAGGTAAAATCTATGCATCTCCTGTTCTCACTGACCAACTATGTGGAAAATACCTTCCTGGTGTTATGATGTCTGGGGGAAAAAGTTGACTTGGTTCTTCCCTGACACTGTTCAATGAGTCAAGTTTATCTGTGTAGCTGATGTTTCCTGAAGTCCTAGAGATACCCAAGACTGTGGTAAAACTAGGGTAAATTACAGTTGTCTACTGTCAGGCTGACAGTGGCATTTTGGAATACAGAGTTTCATGTAATTGGAGTTTATAAAATGTGGTTTTACTCTATATTGGATAATGTACCTGCATGGAGTCAGACTCCTTCTGAGAAAGGGGCAACTGTGGATAGCTACATAAGGGTGAAACTGGTGTTATGTAGCAAATTCTGAGGGGGCAGAAGTACTTTGGTAATCAATATGACTTATCAATAATGCAATAGACTGAATTAATATGTGAACTTTACAGGCATAATGGCATACATCTGAGTAGAACTACCTACAATTTTATGAAGTCGTATTAACTATTTTTATTGTTTTTGATATAGGAAGTTTACTCTAAGGGAATAATCCTGCTCTCAGCGATAGTTACAGTCAGAGTCCATGGGGAAAATAAATTTGAAGTTGTCACAGCTCATAGGACTTTTGTCTTCCGAGTGGAAAAGGAAGGTAAGCAGAGCACATATTTAAATGACAAATGTTAGCAGATCATATTGGTGGCTATAGGTAAATAACATTCCTAAAATCAATGTTTTTGTGTGCATGTTGTCACTTCCAGCAAGGTCACTGGGATCCAGCTATCTTGGGCTCATATGTTGTAGGTTTTTGTGACAGAATTTTACTCCATGGATAGATTACCTCCCAACTAGAGGAGAGACTGTTATCAACAGTCTTATGATTCCAAAGTTAGTCTAAAGGCCAAGTCATTGAGTCCTCTGTGCAGTTCAGCCCTAGGACTATTTGACAGTGATTGTCTTAGCCTGAGTTTTTCATTTACTAGAACCAAGTGCCTTTCCCATAGCCCAAACTGCCTATATTAAAGGCCTACTTTCCTAAAGCAAATTTGTGCTTTAATCAGATCTGCTGGAATATGCAGATTGTTTTATGTTGCTTGGTCAACTCTTTGAGGGACTTAATTGATAGAAATCCCAGTTTGAAGTACTGTATTGGTTAGGGAAAAAAAATAAAGGGTATTTTCCAGCAAGTTTTTTTTTTTTTAAGATGGCATAAAGCAAATTTTTTCTGGGTATTCTTTAACATTTATTAGAGCTACTTATAATCCCTGTACTTTCAGCCATCTGCTCTGAGTGACTGTTTAGTATAAAAATGACAAAGAGCAAAGTGAAGTTGATGGCTTGGATGTGGAGATCGAAGAAATCTGGCTTGGGTTTTCTGGTGGCTTATATTTAATGTCAAACGTGCAGTGTTTCCAATGAGGTTTTTGATAGTGAATAAGGTTAAATTAAACTAGAGGCCATAGTAATTTCTTGTAGATTTTTTTTTTATCAACCTGTAGAGTGTATTATGCAAAATCAATACCAAAAAGTGTGTACAGCTTGAGTTATTTATGAAAAATCCAATAAAAATGGAATATTAACTAGAATTTATTTATTTATTTACAGCAGTGTACACTAGCACCATTATAGTTAAAAGTCTGTCAGCATTTCCATTATCAACTCCAATTTTTTATGGGGTTATAGCTTGGCTATAAACATTTGCTCCAGGCTATAACTTTGAGTGCAGTATCCCAGCCTTATCAGGTTTGGCTCAAATCATTTCAGGCATTTTTACATTGTTGGCTGGCTTCAAAATAGATCTGCAATTTTTTTTAAAGATATTTTTGTTTTTTGTTTTTTTAACTGTTGCTCAAAAATATTTTCATTGTAACATGAAATTTTGTAGGGCCATAATCTGCTTTATGTACTAATGCCTTTGGATAATGAGAAAACAGATCAACTATTATTTTTTATTTATACGTTTTTTAAAGTGTTCCTCTGTATGCCCTATGATAAACTTTTTATATGGGTTACAAATTGTATTTTTCTTAAATGTGCAACCCTCCCTTGACAGAACAGCCTGCTTAGGCAGCTGTTGATTTACTGTTCTAAGTAGGTTTGGGACAAATAAAATGGTCCGTACCAATAACTAGAGCCATTTGAAGTATTCAGTAATGTATACACCCAAATTCCCTTTCCTGTATATGCACAAACTATTCTTGAACCAATCTCAACTTGCATGAATTTGTTCATGACTGAAAAATATTCAGAGGATGTTTCCAAGGGTTCCTGCCATTTGTGGCTTTGCATAAAGAATTCAAGAGCAGGATTTTTCAAATATATTTCAGTCTGAGGCTTGCTTGTGAATGCTTCGCTGTGAGAATATCAAAGCATGAATGCGCTTTCTTTTTGGTCACCTAAGTCACATGTTGTTGTTTCTGTTTCTGGATTGGTAGACCATAATGCTTGATAAACAGAAAGTGGGCCTGAATAAATCATAGTTCTCTGATTCTCTCATGGCTTGTCTAAACAGGTTTTGCTTCACTTTAGTTAAAGTTAGGTGGGTAGACAATTCCCCAGGGAGGTCAGGAGCATTTTCTGAAGAGTTACTCTATGAAGACGTAAGTAGGCATAGGGCATTGAGGGTATTTTAAAATATTTTCCTTACCTATTTTCCACAGAAGTATTATGCTCTGGCAGACATGGATCCCAGGCTTTTTGGGTAAAAGAAGAAAACTGGATTTAAAAATGAGGGGAGGAGAAACTAACTGTGAAATAAGTTTTGTGAGCTGCTTACAGTAGACTTTGCATTCATTTTTTTTCTTGTTCCAGATGCACAAAGTTTGTATGTGAGCAGTACTAATTGTGAAGACTTACCAGTCTTAGTACTGGGACAGGAGGTTTAAGACAACTGTCTCACATGGTAAATGTACACTGCAATGCACGGCTAGACATATGCACTAGCTCTGCTTGAGCTAGCATGCTCCAAATAGCTGTGTGGCTGGGTGTAACATGGGCAGCGGCTTGGGCTTGCTGTCAAAGTATGCCAGGGGTCCAGGCAGGTTTGTGCTTGGATGGCAGCTCAAGCTGCCACCCATGCTACCTCCAGCTACACTACTATGTTGAGCGTGCTAACTCGAGCACAGCTAGCGCATATCTGTCTACTTGTGCTGGGACGCCCGCTCCCAGCTGCAGTGTAGACATATCCACAGTTATGTTAATAAACAATGTCCCACTCCATTTTGAAATCTGAATATGATTTGATTAGAATTCAACAATGTTTGTGGAAAACCTTTTTTATATTAACTCCATATATGAGCTCATTGATGGAGCTACATGTTGAAATACCTTTTTTATGCACCTATTGATCTTTTGAACTATCCACTCTAAGAGATGTGCTTGAAACGCCTTTCCTGAGGTGATCTGTCAGACTGCTATTCTGTCTTCTTTAAGATTCCTCCATGACACACCCTTCTAAGATGATGTTTATAAGAATGGAGTTGAACAGACATTCATGCCACACCTTGCTGTGCACATACCTTTTGCTGAGTAACAACTTTTTGCTGTAATCCTTGTTCTGCCTCCCATGTCTGCACCCTATTATTTTGTCACCCTCTCTTTGCATTCTTTGGGATATGGATAAGGTCTGTTTGGCTGTAATCTAGACTTATAATACATTTTTAGGTGCTGTAACATATTAGAGTTAGTTAAAAAAAATTGAAAATTCAACACTGAAATTTTTTTCTGAAAAAAGAAAAATAATCAGTTTTGTACTGTTTCATAACTTATTCTGTGAATTAAATCTCCCAAAGCAAATGGAGTTAAAGCTTTCATCATAGTCCTGCCACAAGTGGGGGCAAGTCTAATAATAACTCTCATAATATTCATCATTAACATATATCTTGATCTTGGTCCTGTGCAATAACTGGACAGAGTGGATGAGTGAAGGACTGAATAGAATTGTATTACTTCAAATACTTGCTTTTGTAGCTTTTGTAAGCTGTTAAATTAATAATGCATGCAAAGAGTATTCAAACAGGCATTTCCTAAATTCCTTGGATAATGCAGACTTTAACAAGGTATACCTTAATGAAATAGACTGTAAATTGCAAAAATATTTTTGCATAAAAACATTAGCTATATTATCAGTATTATATAGGCCTAAATTTTCAGAAAATCCTGCTGATTTTGAGTTCCCCAATTTTTGGGTGCTGAACTTGAGATATCTTACTTCGACCATATTTCCA